GAGAGGAGGGGGGAGAAGAGAAGAGATCAGGAGAAATGCTGTTAATGTCTGATGAGATCTATTTGACTGAAATGGTGCGTTTATAATCATGGTAAATATCTAAGAGGGTGTGGATTATTTTTTCTAATAAAAGACATCAGAGAGTGTAGGTTTTGTTTCCAGTTATCATCACAAATTCTCCTCGTTATTCTGAGCTGCAGTGATGGAGTAATGGTGTAAAAGCGTCACACCGTCAGGACTCCTGCTGGGAAACAGCATTTATTTAACCTAGTTATTAAGAGTGGTAAACTCTCCATTTGTTTGTTAGAAGCTCTGTTTCTAAACCAGAGTGGAAATGATTCACTTTATTGTAAACTTCTTTGCCCATGATCAAGCTTTTTCGAGTGATCTGTTATGACGCACGTCAGCCGTGCAGCATGGGTCACCATGGTGATCTACACCTGTTACCATGGTGATCTACTCCAGGAAACAGTGAGCCAGCTTCGCGATACGGGAAAACCTGAGTTAAGACCAAAGATGGAAGCTGGATAACACACTAATCTTGCTCTATGTTAGACGCCCCTGATGTGTATTTTGGGGTCCGTTTACAACAACGATTCCAACATCGGCAGCAACACATCCTGACTATCGCATGATGCCAATAAAAACAAGTCCTTACTCTTTTTCCACTTCCTCTCCACGTGAGAATGATGGAGGAGGCGATCGTCAACAAGAGTCAAAAGCAAACATCTGGGTGCATGTTTTCTGTCTTTTCCCTGCTTTGTATTTAAATTTGAAATCAAACCACTCCTGATGTGAAGTCGCACTCCAACATCCTCTTGTGGGAACATGTCAAACCATAGAAAGAAAATTACAGTTTGAAATTATGTGCTTTCTCCAGGAGCCTTCCATAATGCTTTCCATTTTGTCACTGACAACCAGAGAGGTCTGCCGCCACAAATATCCCAGAAATACTCCAAATGCTTCTTATATCCAATACATTCAACACAAACCCACCTCAAACTGTATCGTTTTGGGTGTTGAAAAATGGAACGTATTGAGGTTGATGTTGAGGGAGAGTCAACATATGAGAGGACTTCACAGTATGAGCCTGAGGAGAGTAAATACTGCCAGTTCCCATTTTATGAAATGTGAAATCAGTATTGTTAACAAAGCCACTTTGAACAGAGTCTCTTTTTAAAAAGTGTCCAATGTGTTTTTACAATTTTAATTTGTTTAACACTTAAAGGTCCATTTGGTTGATTAAAACCACAGCCAGACCTCAAGCAGGATGAATAATAAAGCTTTGAGTTTTGTAAAAAAAAAACAACAGAACATGAATAGCAGCAATCAAAATAATACTGATAATTAGAGCACTTTGGTTAGTCGGGCTTCAGCTCTCAGTTTCCCATGTCTTCATTTCTGCTGTCTGAGCAACTACAGTACACAGAGTGATTTTCAAACAATAACTACGGCCTGGCAGCAGGACTGGCTTTAAAGATGTCAAATGAACTTCTCAGGGAAACAGCTTAAACTGCAACAATTCGGCTGCAAATTAGAGTCGGGGTACAATAAAGCAAGACAGTCTGTTATAGATATCTACATAACAAGCAGTGCCAAAATAATCACTCAACCATCCTGTCATATGGCTCCGGCTCATATTTATTTTACCATGTGCTCCATACTGAAGAACTACTGCCACCTGTTAACATTAATATGTGTAATCAAGCTTTAATGAACTTTTACATTCCTCCAGTAAAAATCTCACCCCCACCTCCTCATTACCCCTCGGCTACTGCTCAGCTCAGTGCACTGCCGCTGTTACTAATGCTGAGTCAATTACGACTGCAGGTGCTGAGCCTAAGAACGGGCCAGGGGGTGTGTGTAATGTCAGTGGGGGTTTGGGTTAAGGTATTTACTCTGTTTGTTGATTTTCCTGAGCTGTGTATCTGCCAGCAGGGTTGTCAAGCCAATATGAAAAAAAGCAAGTCAATTAGGGTGGTGCAAAGACAGCGCGAGGCCAAGAGGCAAAACGAGAGGTAGCCTATTATTATCAAACAAAAGTAAAGCTCTGAAGGCCATTAGCAGCTGCTTTAGGCTGGAATGTGTACTTTGAGCCGGAGTAAGAGTTTTGCTGATGATGGTCCTTTGACCGAAACGTTCACATTTATTCACATTTTGTCACTGTTTACAAAACATTATGCATCTATAAATGGTTTGGTGTACAGGTTAAACAATTAGTCTGCTAGGTGATCAAAGACAGTTTATATTGAAAAAAAAGGGCGGAGAGGTGTGGTGGTCAGAGAACAAAAGACATTTGAGTATGTTCATGAGCTTCAGGGCATTATAATGGCCATTCTAATATTTTACACACAAAAAATCTAGCAAAATATTAAACATAATAATTCTCAGATGTATGGATAATGAAAGTAATTGTTAAATGTAGCCTAACAATGCTTATGTGATGGATTAACACTACCTTGCCTGAGGTTTTTTGTGAGTTTATTGCTTGAAACACAGAAAATTTGAAGCAATGGGATAAAAAAATAAAAATAAAAAAAAAAAATTACTACAAATGAGAACAATATAAATAAAAACAATAAAGGTCCTAAAACTAAAAATGAAACCAAAAAATTATGTGGACCCAAATGAAATGGAGTAAATTTTGGGGCCCCTTTGGGTCTGGGGCTCCCGAGCAGTTCCTTTGCCTGGTTGACGGTCCAGCTTTGGCTACAGGATCAGCAAAATCGATGAAGTTTCATCCTCCGGGGTTGATGAAAAAATAGAGAACATCTCATGGCTAACTGACCCATAATTGTCTTGTGTACAAACTTGATCATTTGGCCTGAAGTTGGCGCTTGAGTAAAGGTCATGTAACAATCAAAATGGACACAGACCCTATGGGGATCATATAAATGCATCCTGAGTGTGTCAATAGAGAAAAGGCAGAGGGGTCACTGCGGTCAGTAAGGCTTATCCTCCCGAGACTATTAATGTCCACAACTAATTTCACAGCATTCTAGCCAGAAAATACAGTACTATGAGTGGGTCACAAGTAGACCTGGGGCTGGTCCCAAAGGAAAGCTCCGGGAGAGTCCAAAATGTGAAGTTCTTATCTCCTGGTAACAATACATTTACACAGTACATTTCACAACAATCTGTTCAATACTTGTGGATTTGTATACAAATGGGACTTTGTGCTGATTGTGACGCTGAACAAAAGATTAGGTGATTTTTACCAAATGTCATGGCAATCTGTCCAGTAGTTGTTGTAGATATCTTTTGTTGGATTGATGGCTTGGCATGTGGACAGATCAGTCAGCCAACATCACTGTCCTCTGGCCCCACTGCTAATGCAGCCAAAAGGGAAATCAGAAGACATGAAAGAACGATGAGAAACAGACACACAGTGGGTGAGATATTACAATGTGCCTTTCACTGAGATATTAATTGGACTGGGCTTTGCTGGATTGTTGCTTTGTCTTTTTCTCATTAATGGAGCAACTTAAGAACTTTTCAAATCTCTGTTAGTCTGTTTAACATATTCATACTGGGTCTTTCAGTTTGGCTTGCCTCACTTTTAAATACTCTTAAGACAGAGCAGAGTCATTGTTTGCCGCTTTAGTTTTCATTGCCATGCAGTGTGCACCCTTTGTTGTATTGTGGGCGGACTCTTTTGTAATGGAAATAGCAGTAACTTCCAACAACTGTGTGAAAAGCGAAAAGACACAAATCAGACTTTGACTTTCACAAACCTAAGACTAAACATAGTACTGTACGTACACTCACAAACATGCACTAAAGGCAAAGTCAGGCATATCTGAACAAACACACAGTCTAGATAATACATGTACATTGGCGCACACACACACACACACACACACACACACACACACACACACACACACACACACTATATTCTTGCACGCAGTGCTCGTGACAAGGCTTATTGTTTGTCCTTGACATTTTCATGTATTTGAAGAAAGGCTGGTATGAAAGGGCCATGTGTTGACATCACAAATCTTCAAAAGTAGAGTGATTTCTTTGTTCCTTCGCTCTTAGCTGACTCAAGGGACTTCTGTGCTCGGGGTGGACTTGTTGTTAATTAACCACATGGCTGTCTGATTGAAGTCTGTGTATATAGAAGTGCATACAGAGTGGTAGCTATAGAAGATGTGAAGGGAGCTTCCCACATCTATATTTTTCACCAGTATTGCAGCTAATTACTACTTATAATTCTATACAGTACAAACAGATCAGTATATCTTAATTTAAACACTAGTTGTTTTTCTGTCTTTCAATTACCAAGTTACTATTTTATTCCCTGTTTTGCAGAAGGGCAGCAAGAAACATGTTTTTTCTATAAATTTAACATCTTAGTGAAAGAGTAGCAGCAGCCATGTAATAAAAAATGGGTCTGTGTGTGAGTGTCTGTGAGCCAAAAATATGCCAAAATATGTATTTTTTCATTAGCACATAGTTTGTGTTTGTGCACACATCACAGCATAAATAAAGCAAGAGAACACATCCAATGCTTAAAATTATGATATTTCTGATTTTAAAATATGTCTTTTTATGGCTCATGTCTTTCTGATCATAGCCTGAGGTCGCTTCATTATTCAGCGATCATGTTCATGTTTCTGTGTTCGGAGAAGGTGGTGTTATTTTGCACTAGACTACAACAGTGCCTGGCACATCTGTTCCATCAAAGTGTATTTCTTTTTTCACAATCCCACCAACAAAGTTCTGATTGTTTCGCTTATTCTTTTTTTTAATTGTGTGAACTGCTGTCAATTAGCGCAACATCAAGCCTCTCTGAATCACTCAAAAAAGATCTGAGGGCAGTGATTTAGAGGTTCACGACAAAGCTTATCTGACATGTCTGTCCGTCTGCTGGCGTACTCCTTTCTATTCAAAATTAGATCACATGTTGGATTGAAAACGAATGCAAAGTGTTAAAAGAGCAGCACCGTTGCTAGCCTGGTATATTGAACCGTGCGTGTGTCTCTCTCTTTCAACAGTGCATGTGAAGGCAGGGACGTGTGAGGTGATCGCCGCCCATCGCTGCTGCAACAAGAACAAGATTGAGGAGAGATCTCAGACTGTCAAATGTTCCTGCTTCCCTGGACAGGTTGCTGGCACCACTCGGGCCATGCCCTCCTGTGTTGATGGTATGCATTTATTCTAAATGTGTGCATTTAGTATGCATCTGCACACTCCTACTCTCAGAACCACACATTGTTTTAGAAGTGTACCTCTCATGGTTTTAAATGTTTCCTTGCTGATCAGTCATTTTCTGTGAATACTGTAGTGTGAGTTCAGGCTGAGCACTGAAGTCTCACATGCATTAGCCCAGTAGTGTCTACTAGGGGTGTAAAGATTAACCTTTAGATATACCTTTACAATATAAAAAAAGAGATTCAGCTTTGCTGATATGAAAACGATATGCAAACCAAATTGTGTATGCAAATTCAGCTTGCCACATTCCCCAACCATACAGCTGCCTGCTTCCAGCTATCCACAACATTCACACACTGTTAGACTACCATGTACAACGCTGCCTGACAGTTACACTGCTGTCTTCAAAATGCACAGCGGCATCATAAATCATCAGAGGTCTCATAAAATATAATGGTACCACACGCCTCAATACTAGTTTATGTAGACCACATGTGCTGAATAAAGTTAGTGACAGCCGGCAACACTAGGACTAGATGAGTAATGCTCGAGTTAGCACCTAACGCTGCTTCCAACTCGGCCTCAAGTCCTCCCAGTTACCAAAGCCGTGATGAGCTGTTGTATTTACAGGGACATGGGAGCCCACAGTGTTGGTGTGGTAGTAGAGGTATCCTAATTTTGTGGGGGGTCTCTGATCAGTATTTGGAATACAAAAATTGAGGAAATAATTTGTTTTATCACTTATTACAAAAAGTAAAACTATCCCTTCCTAGTTGACAGAATCAAACTGTTTTAAACTGGCTGTGATCACACAGCATTGTGTATCGTATTGTTGTAAATTTATCATGTCATAATTTTTCCATCGGCTCATGGACTCTGGAGGAGAGATACACACCCCCTATCCACTGCCTTAATCATGCTTTAATCACTGGATCAGTCAATCTGTTTGGCTACCAGGTGACTAGTTGCATCCAATCATATTCCAGCTGAGGCACAATGCAGCAATTATAACTAGATTCTTTTCACTCTTACTCTGCTGACATGCTCCCTCCACCACCCCAGCCTCCTTCTTGCATACTACAATTTTTGTGATTCCTGATTTAACTGTATGTATTTTTTAGGGGGCGGGGGATTAGTTCTCCCAGCACAGGCCTCACTGCTGCTCAAATTCTTTGAGAGTTCCCTCAAAGAGCAGAGCCATTTGCTCTAAATGGTCAATTCACTCACCTAAGTATCTCTAACTGAAATATAAGTGATTCTCTCTCGTAAGTCCTGACGCAGTAGTCCTTACAAATGTGGAATTTGGAAATCATAGCTCAGTGTTATCTGACCCAGTGTCCCTGCGTGAAATATATCATTGAACTTTACTGCAAACATCTGTCCATTTTAAACACGTGTTCTGGTGCGTGCTGCTCTCTATTGAAAATTGATATAAAAATTGATATATGACTAAAGTCAGCTTTGATTTGACAGTGCATACATGGACGTCGATACTCTCCTGGCAGTATTTCTGTGCAGTGGAGGCCAACATACTGTAGGTGCTCTCGTAGCCACTGAACAGAAATGCATGAAACAGAAGCAGACGAACTGAGGCTGTACTCCGTCTGTCCGACGCTATTTCCTGCCGGTAACTTCAGGAGCCTGATAAATTATAAACACAGCCTCTGTCCATTATACTTTTGTGATGAATTCAGAGGAATTACAAAGACGATGAATGGCATTAGGGTTACATTGCACCCACAAGCAATTTAAAAATAATGAAATGCCTACTCTGGCTATTAACCAAATAAAAATGTAAAGGTATAAGAAACAGAATCCCAGACAGTAAAAGTAATCTTTGTTTCACAGCCAAGCAAATAATTCCAATTATACACGTAAAAATTGAATATAACAAATTCTAATATAATATAATGGTTTCTTAACTGAGAGGCAGAATAGGGAAATAATAGGTGTTCCTGCTATTATATTTAGCACTTCAGTCAATGTTATGTGAAGATAAAAGCTCTGCCAACATGAATCCTAATAACAAATATTATAATCTGCAGAAAGTGTTATCTGTCTGGAGCTGCTTCGTTGATAACGAATGAAAGGTTGATTCTGTAGACCCAAACGTTTATATAGGCTTTTACACATAGGTGAGCTTTGTTTCACAGTAGCGCTGACAATTTGAAGCTACAAAATTTACCCTAGATATACCTGGAAAATCGCCCTGACTACTGTTCCTGTGTCCGCACAATCAGTAATGTGCACACCACTTGCAGCTATGACGAGCGGCACCTGATGAAATCACAGCCTGCAGCATCTGCAGCCCTGTTGTTTCTTGCTTTTCAGTGAAATCAGGCTCAGAATGGTCTTCATTAGAACTTAATGAGACTTCACATGACCCCAAAGAAAGGAAAGAATCAAGAAGTACAACTTTAACGAAGTAGGTAATTAGAAATCATGGTTGAATTACTGAACTGCCACGGATGTAAAAGTTCAATGAACACAGTAACAGTATGTGTCAATCGTCTAAAAGTTTGTTGTTTATAAAGGGTTTATTTAGCATGTATTACAGTAGTAGCAGTAAGGGGCAATAGTCTCTAAATGTTCATGGCCCTATGAAAGGGTTTCTTAACCATGAAACTCTTGAATTGTTTGCTGGCATTACGTCAACACTGAGCTGACACAAATTCTGACAGACCACATGATGATGACTTGATGAAAGTCTATGTAAGCTTTGTACACTGGGATTTCTCTGTTCAAAACGGCTAACATGTATGCAACGTCTGATTATTAAGAAATCCTTTGAAAAGTTCTCAGACATTAGTGCAAAGTTTGTCTGTTCACACAAACCGTCGCTCTCAGAAAGAGTCGCTAATCCCCTGGGAATTGCGTCAATGAATACAGACTCTATTGATTTAGTATTTGGTTACTAAGTTGGAGAGACAATTACTTCAATACTTACATGCTAAACATTTAATTACCTGGTAACTCACTGTGGCAAATACCCAGTCTTTAGAGTGACTGATGAAGAAAGGATATTTTGCATATATTCACACACTCAGCTTTTACGTTGAGTGTTCTTTTTTTTTTTCTTTTGTCTTTGTGGTGATATTTAATCATCTTCTTGTTTTTGATATATCTGGTCTTTCTAAGCTTTTTTCTCTGTGATGTCTGCCAAAGGCACTTCATCAATTTATTTTTATCTGATTTGATGTGTTTGCGAACAAATCTACTCGAAACCCTAAAAGATCACAACATTTCCCAGCTGTCTCATGTATATTCTACCTCCAGGTTGATCCTTTTTTTGTTTTCTGTCTATGTGAATTGAAAATGTAAATGCACTAATTAAATTCACATGACTCTAGTGCCCATGAAACCCACACATACAGTAATATTCTACAGTTAGTAAATGCTCTACATAAAGAACATAACAATTTTTTTTTTATTGTTGAAATTTTAATAGGTGTGGGAAATGTGGACAATATCTCGATAATTATCTTGATATTGAGGTGTAACAGTGTTCAAAGAATTCAAAATCATATGGTATAATTTTATATAATAAACCTCATGTTTGTCCCACATGGAGGCATTCTGGATTTCTGATTTGAGCATTTTTAGTCCAACAGATCATATACACTTAAAAATATTTTGAAAAGAGGGTTGTAATATTGTATGTTTAGATACATGTTGGTGGTCTTAGTTTGTCTGTTTAGTATCTTTGGTGATCTTTCAGTCACATGACTGATCAATGGACTGAATCCAAGGAAACTGGATTCAAAGAAAGGCATCTAAGCTGTGTGGTGAACACAGCATGGCGTATTTGAGAAGAGTTTTCCGACGTGCTCTACTTTTGATGGACCCGAATTGAAGCTCACAGTCGTTTGCACCTCCCTGTGTGCGTGTTCTCAAAGTTAGAAATCATTTTTGGTTTCTCCCAGGATCTTTTAAGGTCATCATAATCATGCTGTTTGTGTTGATGAAAGAAAAAAAAGGTTTTTACGTTTCATTGCTGTGGAAAAGTTGGTGTACTGATAAAAGCAAACAAAGTGCAGTAGAGTGCAACGGAAACAGAATTAATAATGACACAGATGAAGCATGGGACTTGAATGTCAGATCTGTGTGAACTGATGAGGAGACTGTAACGTTCCTCAGATTAATACATGACACAAACTGAAATGTCATAGTTTACCACATCATTTTTGTTCATTTGAGATTTGAATGGTGCTTTTTTAAATTACATTATCTCTTTGCATCCTCTTCTTCTGCTGTGATTTAATGGGCGCTCAACTGGAAAATTAAGGCCACCAACTGTTTATCTCAATGCGTCCAACTGCTAATATTAGCATAATGTTGGTAGATAGAAACACACATTAAATCACATTTTCTCTTTCTGAATTTCTGGAAATTAATTTAAAACTTGCACTACATTTGGATGGAAATTTGGCCAGGGAAAGCTTGATGTTGAAATTCACAGATATACAGTGTGGAAACCCATGAAGGCACTGGATGAAAACATGCCTATAAACATTGGGGCATGTCTTTACCATACTAAATATCTGCTGCCCTCTCCCTCTCTCTCTCTCTTCCTCCAGCATCCATTGTAGCCCAGAAGTGGTGGTGTCAGATGCAGCCATGTATGGAAGGTGAGGAGTGTAAGGTTCTCCCAGACCTCACAGGATGGAGCTGCAGCACAGGCAACAAAGTCAAGACCACAAAGGTTGGGGTGCACATAAATCTCTCTCTTTTATATTTCTGTTTCCCTCTCTCTCACACACACACAATCTTCCCATCCCACTTATACACACATGCATGCACATACACGGTCAGACACCACCGAGTGACCCACTTCTACCTCCATCGTGTTAGATCTCTGTCTTCTCTCCTTCTCCTCTCTGTTTTATTAGTTCCTATCCCCGTTTCTTTCTCCTTTTCACCCCATATCATTCTTTTTCTCACCCAATTTCTCTCCTTACTTTCTCCTCCCGCCCCATCTTGGATCTAACATCAAACAGTCTCTGAAGAAAAACAAGGCCAACAGGAACAAGGCAAATAACACACACACACAGAGAAAGAGAGAGAGAGAGAGAGAGAGAGAGAGAGAGAGAGAGAGAGAGACCACAATTCCCTTCACTCCCACTTGCCCTGCTTCCCTGCGTCTGACTGGCATGCCATCTGACTCGATGCAAAAACAACTCGCCACATCAGATACACTAGAGTGGTAATTGTCCTCAGATAGTCTTTATGCTCCTATTCAACCGTAACACAGTATGTGCAGTTTCTGCATGAGTCCTTTTTTTCCCCTATATTTCCTCAATTTTTCTGCACTCTCCATTAGTCTTTGTCTTTATGCGTGCGTGTGTGTGTGTGTGTGTGTGTGTGTGGATGTACATTATATATCTTTATGCTCAGCCTCCATCGGCACCTGTTGGCTTCCCTGCATCGTATTGACCTGAGCAGACTCTTAGCTGTCTGTCATTGGAGGATTTGTGAGAGACTCACCTCTTGTCACTGTACGCTTCTGTTTCTAACCTCCATCCTTCTCTCTGCCTTCTCACCTTCCATTATTCATGGCTGGGTGCAGACCTTTGTTTTCTGCCTAAATAATTGATTGAAGGCGTGGTCGGAGGAGGGAGAGTGCATCTCTCCTTGGGTAAAAGAGAGGGATAAGAAAAGCTTAAGACACACGTGGTGTCTCTTCTCTTTCCCACTCTCTCTTTCTCTAAAACACTCAGACACAGTCGCCGATGTGTCAGGCTGATTAAAAATTCCTCCCCTACTTTTTCGTCTGCTCACCTCTCACCTAGCAAAGTGGATCTCACCCCCTCAAATTACACTCTTTCCTCCTCAACAGCCCCTCCTCTTCTTCTCACCCCAAAACAGTTTTCTGCTGCGCTGGGCCCAGCTCAAATCGTGTTAGGCTGCTCATAGGTGTAACTGAACTTTTCCCAATATATTTATCACAGAGAGATAAAGCTAGAAGGAGATACAAGCAGAAAATGACAGAGTGGTCTAAGAGTATGTAATGGGCATAACTGGAGAGGGAGACACATGAGAGGTGATCAAATATGAGGATGATGTAATTTCTGAATATGTGAATGCTGTTAGGAAGGTGCTTCATATATCTGATCTCATGCATTTAGCTCCATCAACCCCAAAGTGTGCATCTATATTTTCCTCAACAACATCAAAGTAAACCAGTTTCAGCCAGGCATTACTTTATCATTGACTCTGTCGTAGTTTAAAAGAGCACAAATATTTGCTGTCTCTTGCATTCAGGTCTTTGATCAATGATCTGTGTGTGCTTGTGCGTGTCTGTTGTGTGCGTACACTATTTGAGCGTGTTAGCTGACGTGTTTGCCTGATGATGAAAAGAGTGATGTTTTTTTTCCTCGTCTGATGTGGTACGCTGAGGTCAAGATGCGCAGGCATCCAGATCAATAGCATCGAACGTCCTCTTATAGTCCCATTAAGGCCCGCTCGTAAATTGAAATTGACGATGGAGTGAGAGAGGATGGGAGGATGAGAGAGACACGTGCACACACACACACACACACACACACACACACACACACACACACACGGAGAGCGGCAAAAAGCAAGAGAGAGGCAGGTGGAGATGGACGAGAAAGGAAACAAGTAACAAGAAGAAAGTGGAGAGGAAAGGCTGAAGTCAGAGGTGATAAAAGAATAAAGAAAACACTTGAAAACAGGAATATTGGAAGTGGTCAGCTGACAAGAGGCTTATGTTACACAGAGCAGGCAAAACACAAAAGAGGGCTTGGCACTCTCCCTCCCTTCTTCTATCCCTGACTGGGAGCAAAGGAAAGGAGGAGAGGAGGAGGGCAAAAGGAGGAGAGAGGGAGGAGATAGAAGACAGCTCGATCAATGCCAAATAATATCATATGGATGAACAGACAGACACGGCTGGGCTCCCAAGCCACTGAGCTGTCATACACTGCAAAGCAAGTGTGTGCATTTGCGTTGACACGCTTGCAGTCATACACAAATATTAAGAAACAAATGACAAGAAGGTCTCAGCGGCGCATGTATATTCCATCCCTATATAGCCAGCTTACATCAACATTAAACAGATGTGGCAGTCTGGAAGTGCCATAAACCTCTTTAGGCAAGATATCCTTCAAGCACCTCTCTGCTTGATAAAAACAATACAAACCAATAAAACATTTTGTTTCTAGATGGACAGAATGAGAAAAAAATCAAGATCAAACAATTTAAGTAATGACTTTCCATAATTTACTCTTATGTGACTAAGTGAGTCATAAAGAGTGTGTGTAATGTAGTAGTGAAGGGGACATCTGCCTTGTGGCTGTATGTGTAGGGACTAGTGTAGGTAGTCAAAACTTGTGGAATAAGCAATAGAAAATGTGGCACTCATGGGTCCGTAGAGATGACACTCAAACACTGCCTGTGTGCTTTGTAAATTGATATCTAACTACCTAAATCCGCTTTCTAATTGGGCACGGAAACTGTCACCTACAGGCATATTTAAACTGGCTAGGAGATGAACACCTAAAGGGACATCGAGTTTGCACCTTAAAGCGAAGAGATGTGGTGTGAAGCGGTGTGCGTGCATAGTGAACTGGCATGACAACAAACGCCTGCAGACTCTTTGATCAGGCACAGGAGTAGATGCCTGAAGGCAATGGGAGCAGGCCCAGGAAAGGTGGCCTGGAGCCATCGAGAGCAGATACAGTACAACAGTCTCAGCTGCCAGCTTGGAGGAAAGGCTCCTCTGAGCTCTTTCAGTGATGGCTGGCCTTCACACTTTGTTAGCTGGCACCTGGGTCGGACAAAAGACCGACTCCCTCAAGAGGAAATACAGGCAGGACAGCATGTTTTGGGGGCTGAGAGGGGAAGCCACTGGGAAACACAATGAGAGAGAAAAGGCATGCAGGAAAACAGAAAAACTGTCTTGGAGAGTCTGGCCTATTACATGCCCAAGCACTGGCAGTTATACAGCAATTTGTGTCTGTTTGGTTGTTGGCTGGTAGACAAAGTCTCCTAATAGCTTGATATAAACCAAAAGTGAGTGCATGAGCAAAGAAAATGGAAAGATGGACAGAGGAGATAAAGAGACCATGTGATTAGAGCAGCCGTCTTGACAAACAGACAAAATGACATGGCAGTGGGCCAGACGCTGAGAGTGAGGCATTGTGGGCTGACTGCCTCGATTCAAGCTGTGTCTTGTTTAGTGTCTAGCCAGAGGAGACAGAGACCGCGCTAGCCATGTTGTCGGTGCTCCACCAACAAGAATCACTTCCGATTATTTCCAAACAGTGGGCTATGGTGCACCACCCTGCATTATTTAAACCTTCACTTGACATGTACTACCAGCAGTGGCTTTGTACTCTGCTCTGTGACCTTTACGGTTTAAGGCTACATCCTCACTTTTTCAGGGGAACTATTTTCAGTGACCTACTTCTTTTCTCCCTGTTTCAGGTGACCCGATAGTCCAGTCCGTCTCAAAAAGAGAACGAGAAGATGGTGGTGGAGGTACTTACACAGCACAATGGACCTTATCAGTGGTGAAGAAATGCACTCAGATGGACTTCGATGAGGAACCAGTAATTGTTTCATTTTTGTGACGATATCCAAGAAATGGCGGCCGAAGAGACAGGACTCTAACACTGCCTGCCATCACCTTTAAAGACAACTGAGTGACCTTGGTCCTTTAATGCAGAGGACTGCATCACCCACAATCCTTTACTGCTACTATAAACTTCAACAAAATGAACTATGACCTAAACAGCACTGGATTAGTTGACAAAAAAAAACAACTTTCTTTACAACAATCTGTATTCTTCATCTCTCTTCTATGGCTTAGTTGTGTTCCATATGCATACTGGGGAAAAAAAGGGGATCTGGATTTTAGACAGCTATCCTGTATTACAAACATCACTATAAAAAAGGGAGTGGCTCCAGAATGGCTGCCTCTGGATGACACATTTAAATTTAACTGTGCCACATATGACACACTTGATGGTGTCAAAACATTTCTCAGATTTGAAACTGAACCTTATTCTTTCTTTTTTTTTTCTTTTTCTTTTTTCAGATTTCACCTCCATAATAATACTTTACCTTGAATAGTTTGTGGCTTACCACATGCCATTTTTTAAAATGGGGAGACAGTTTGTCAGTCTTCTTGTTTCTTTTGTTTTTTGACAAAGGAAAAAATCCTTTCAGGGGTGAGGTTAGACTAATACCAAGTAGATGTTATGGTATATTGAAACATGTATACGTGTAAAAAATGGTCCATGGAATCAAAGGGGCTAAAAATAAATTGATGCTCTAATGGTTTTAATATCTGTGTTTTTAAACGCCTGTTAACCGCTATTGAGTACATGTGTCAGTATTATATGAAATGAATAAAACCTTTCAAAAGAAAAGGCACATCTCCGCATTTTGTTTCAGCCCTACAAAATGATCTTTGTGAAGATTCAAATTAAATTAAAGGTCTTTCAGGGGAGTTTTTCAAGTGCTCCACGTCCGGACTCACAGTATACCACACACATGCTGTGCACTAAATTGTAATTAATAAAACTAAAGGACTGTACTGTTTCACAAAGAGTGTATGGGGCTGTAGGCATTGTTGATAACGGTATGAATTAATTTCCCAAGAAACCTCGAAGCGACAGGAAACTCAAAATAATGAATTTGTAACTACTGGTGTTAATTTTGTTGGCTGCAAGAAATGTCATCAATAACTGTTCATTTCTTTCCTGTTATTTATAAAATCTTGACTCTAATTTTATCATCTATGTTTCCTGCTTTAGACAGCAGCTCTCAGCATTACCCACTGTTTTGTCATTGATTACAACATTTTTCAAAGATGAAATACTGCTCTTCCGTGATGGGTGAGGTGTCATTAATCAGCTGGTTAGAGCTCAGAGAACAACATTTACTGGCCTCTGTGTAGTGCTGAACAATGCAAGCGGTATTACAGGAGAAACCTGCACATGTGGCTGGATTTTCATCAGAAATTCCAAGCATATAAGGAACAAAAAGGATATTTGTATGCCACACATTTCAGCCAGGACTCACAAAACAAACTGGGCTGGTAAACAAGATTGATTGCAGGATGCTGTGGCTCTATGTCTGGCATTTTGTTGGGCTCGATCAACAGGTGAGCGTCTCCACAATGATTGTGAATCGGCAAAGCCGATACAATTGGAGAGATGGGTTCTAACAGCCAGTTCCATCTTGGACCTGGTTTCAAGTTGGTAAAATACCTGGATTTGTTAAGGCCCATGGGCAAAAGATCACGTTATCTGTTTAGACTCTTTTGCGTCTTTCTCTGACACTATAGGCATCTGAAAAAACCGACTGATGATGTATACAAATGCATGATAACTCAAACACAAAACAAACACGGCTGACCACCTTAAACTTTCCAGTCAGTGGAACAACTGCACAATGCAGGAGGGTACTCATGACAGAGTGGGGGGTGGCAATTCCTTCGTTCAAATATCTATTGTTTAATTGTTAAAGTAAGAACTTTTGAAAGACGAGTGCTTGACTGTGACTAGTATTAGTGCAAGACGTTTGCCTTCTGGTAACATTAAGCACATCGTGCATACAAAACATCAGCGATTCATTCAACTTATACTCACTGAATGATAAAGTAGAATTAATAGTATTTTCAGTTTTTTTTTGCTTTAGTTTCTATGGTTTCTGCAGCTGCAGCACAACTCCCACTGAGGAGCAAAATGAGTGAAGACAGGGTTAATGATTATCACAGAGCAATGACTAAATATGAGGTGAAAGCCAAGCAATGATTCAACACAGCACAAAGTCCATGGTTTAGTTTTGATAGATAATTACTGCAGTTTCTATTATTGTCAGTGTCATGCTTGTCTGGTAATTGGTCCCCAAATTGCAATTAAAAAGAAGCTAGATTCTCAAATATCAAGTTATATCTTAGAAGCTGAAATTTGTTTGTTACTGCCCTGAGTGAAATACAAACAGCACTTCACTGACTAAAAGTTATAAAGATTCAATATGGGATTAGAAAGGATTCGGATTTGATAAAAATATTGGATTAAACTGAGGTGGATTCATCTTAGAAAAAATGCAATTGAAGTCTATCTCTATACAGCTGTCGTGCTTATGTTAAAGCTCTTGGCATCTCTAAGTTAACAAATCCCACTTCCTCCCTCTGCCTCAAACACACACAGTGAAATACAGACCTTGTTGTACCATTCATGGCGTTGTTTTGTTGAAAATTTGACACAAAAGCCGGTCTAATATCTCGGGTGTACTGATACTCTGTCAGCACAAACAAACTTTACGTTTAGATAGTTTGACACGGCAAGACTGTTCTGCTGTATTCACAGTTTGGATTGTTCAAAGCTCATCTGCCACACATTCACAGTTTACGACTGTGGGATTGCGTATGTCACGGTGCCCTCGTTTCCACAGCAACCTCATGTCACCTATAATTGTTATTCTGTTGTGCCCTGACATGGTTATGGTTGGTAACAGTAGTCAAGACTACCACAAACATACCGCAGCCTGACTGATGACTGAGCTTATCACAGTTATATCAGTAGCATTAGACAAATGAGATATGTTTGAGACATTAACAACAAACACAACTCTAATCGAGTCAGGCATGTTGGGCATTTATTTATTAATCTTGTTTCATAAATCAAGAAAAGGGTCGTGAGATTTTTAAAAATACAACAGAGATGTTTCAATCTCAGAAATGAATCCTTTCCGTGTGAATGGCAGAAACCATTTCAGTTAACCATCTGTCAAAAGGACACTGTGGAGGGAGATCGCCTGTTTATGAGATTTAGTGTTTTTGTAGTTGTCCTTTCAAACAGTGTACTGTACATGACGTCGGTTCAGAGAAGCCCAACAGTGTTTGAGATCATCTTTAACAGAGTTGCCATCACAGTCTGTCCATCAGAGACAACTGACATTTGTTTGTCTGGTGTCAAATTAAAAGGTCTTGCTCAGTACATATCTTATTATATATCAAATTTTACCAGAATTTAGTTTGTATACCCATCATTTCACCAATATGTGTTTTATTTTTATTTTTATTTTTTTATGTTTTGTTTTGAGAGGGAAAAAAGTTTCTTGTAGCTTTAAGGCAGAGAATAAAACACCCTCATGCCTTCTTCAACTTGGTGATGTTACATCAGAACCAAAGCAGCGGTGCACAGAAACCTGATGCAAACGCTATGACTGCACCACAGCTCTCAGTCACTGATAAAAGAGTGATGTTCTGGGTCAAATACATTATGTGCCATACTGTATATCTGTTCTCCAATCAGGTTATATGTATGGTATATATTCTGCGCATATTTCTCCATTTCCCATTCCTGCTACTGTATCTGTGTAAGGTTTCAAGTTTGACAAGTAGATGAGAAATTCTACTCAGTCACAACCCAAGAGAGCAGAGCACTGTCATATTAAGTATAGTGGTAAGATGGGGTTGATGTAGGTTTAAATATAGAACCACAGACATAGTAAAGTATGCTGAAAGATCAAATCCAAACAGGAAGTGTGCCGTACTGTACGCATGCAACTGCCAGTGATGGACGCTGATAGTGATTGGCAAGATGCCTCTGATGTAAATCTGATGAAGAAGGAGATAAAATAAGAGGGTTCAGGCGGAGAAAGTTGCAGACAAAATGTTGAGTTTGAGGCTGTGGACATCTATCTCTTCTCACCAGGACACACACACGCACACACACATATACACGCACACAAGCACATGCTATCTGTGTTGTGTTGCATTAAAGCTGCCTTTCTCTAAAACGCTTTTCTGATTTGGCTAATCTCCTCAGAGGCCGCGGCCTTCCACTGAGTCATTTCGTGCATGTATGTGTGTGTGTGTGTGTGTGTGTGTGTGTGTGTGTGTGTGTGTGTGTGTGTGTGTGTGTGTGTGTCTCATGGCCTGGGCTGTTTCTGAGCCTCAACGCGTCGTTAGTGCATGTCATTAAAAGATTACAGAGAATAAACCCACATACAGATTCTCACACGTACACACACGGGAAAGCGAGAGAGAGGAACTGAGCAGAGAACAGACTGCTATAATTACAGAGAGAAAAATGTGTAAAAGGGTTTTGACATCAGAATATGACAGCCTCAATTTTTGAGTATTCTTGTTAACTGCTCGCAAGCTTTCTCGAGCTGCGCGTGAATCCAATCATGAGTCAACCATGTGAGGCTTGTTGAAATTCTTCTACAGCAGCACCCCTAATGCCAGCCCACTCTCACCCTCACGTAGTTACACAAAACATTTAACACTGGTGCTGGAGCGAGGTATCAGGTGCAGCTCTAACAGTCTCCTTATATCTGTCTGACAGTAGTGATCGTCAACACTGCTGCTAAACATTAATCTCATCATCTGTGACTCTGAATATCCCGATTATGCCGAGATTAGTCCGTGCACTCTCTGCTTAGCGGTGGCGGTGAAGCGGCTGCTGCTGCCGACAGATGCCGAAGCAGATGCTACAGAAGGCCGAACGATGAGACAGGTTACCCTGGATGCTGACACCTCACTGCTAGGACGATGATTAGAGAAAGATGACACACATTGAGAGTTGAATGAGATACTCAGACAAGCTTAATCTGCCTGTTTGTTTCACAGAGAGCTGAGGAGAGACCAGAACATCCAGGTAGGTTATGTTGGAAAATCT